AATCAATCCATCTCGAATGTTTTTTTTTTATGACCTGATCTGATATTTAAATTTAAAAAAAATTGATCCGGAGGTGAATAACTAGGAACGGGTAATTAAACGTTCATATTTAATTTGGTTTATATTATCTTGTCAATGGACAGCTTTTAGACTTTAACCTCTCATCTTATGAAAGGGGGGAGAGACGTAGACATAATTTTTTACTTTGTCATAATTTTACACTTTCATAAGTTTAAACTCCTGCTTTTTTTGTTGGTGCATTGACGTAATATATCAAGAATAAGCTGTATTATTATTATTATTATTGAAATAAACTTGAATGCCGGGTGCTTTTCATTCATTATTATCGTAATAATTAACTCAAATTTATGGTTTTTGATTCATATTGAGGTATAGGTGTAATTCAATCTAATCAATTAAAATATAATAAAATTTTAAATTTTAAAATTAATTTAAAATTTATTGTTTAAAATTTTATTTAAATTAAAAAATTTAAATTTAAATTTGACTCAAAATAAAAATTAAATTATTTAAATTTATTTGATTAAACTCATTTAATAAAAAATGAGCTTAATTTTTATATTTAATTTCAAATTTAATTATATTTTCAAACTCGAATTGATATATATATAAATAAAATTATAATTTTTAATTAAAATTTATTAAAATTTAAAATTTCAATTTAACTCATAAATTATTAAAATTAAGTATTAAAATATTTGAATTCATCTTATTTGATAAATTAAATTATTAAAATCAAACACAATAATGAATGAACTGTTTCAAAATTTTATTTAAATTAAATCTAAATAATTTAGGAATATTTATGTACAATTTACTTTCATAAATTAGCTTAGCAACCCAATAAAACGAATTCTCAAGCAGCATTGACAGTAGTAAAAATGGTGGTTTTCTGTGGAAAGATGAACAGCCAAATAATGCCACCTTGGCAAATAAGGCTATTGTTGCCTGTTGGTTATTCGACTTTCAATGTTACGGTGAACCATCAAGACGAGTGCCATCTAGAAATATAGGTAAATATGATAATTTGTGCCATTATATTATGTTTTGTATCACACATGATTTTGAATATAAGATAAATAATTTTGATACGAATAAGATATTAATATAAGAATGACATAAATAATTTAAATGTAATACTTCAATCTAAATGATAATTACGTTAGATTAATATTAAAGTCTATCAATTTATTAAGAAATTAATTAAATAAAAAAAAACTAAGGTATTAAATGAAAAAAAATCTAGTTATCATGAAACAAAGAAAATTAGAGTTCTTCTTTTTCATCTTTTTTAGAGTAAAGAGCATAAAAAATCAAGTTAGAGATTTAAAATCAAAGACTACAATCAAGTTAATCCATTAAAGGTGAGTATATGCTTTCTTTTTATTTAAGAAAAAAATATCATGTTGATCGTTATTATTTAGAGTTGAAGTTTTGAGAGAAAAATTAAGAAAAATTATGAAATATTTCATTAATCTTCATGATTTATTTAGATAAATTATTAGATTTTGTTTATTTTATGTTTTTAAGATTTATTGATGATTATTGAATGGAGTTTAAAAACTGAAAGTAGGGATTTAAGTTTTTAAAGATTGAATGAGAAATTATATTTTTGGATGAGATATTATGATTTATAATAGTGAATTAAAATAGAATTTTGTATTAATGGATAGATTATTGCTACGATTATTATATATCGTTGGAAAGCATGTTGAATCTACTTTTTAATAAAATAAAAAAGAGTTGAATTTGAGTTTTTTATGAAGAGTTGTCTAATTTTTACTTAAAGATATGCAGGCTGTAAGGCAGCAGCATCAGGGTTGAATTATGAAAATTGTCTTAATTTTTATACAAGAAATTACATATTATGCCATATATGTTTGAAAATCTTATTGAGTCTATTTTCCAACGAAATAAGTAGAATTGAATTTGGAGTTTCCTATGAATAACTACATAATTTTTATTAAAAAGTATATAGGTTGTTTGGCAGCAGTATCTGACATGGATTTAAAAAATTATTATAATTAATCTACAAGGAATCACGAGATGGGCCATATATGGTTAGAAAGCTTATCAAGTCGAGTTTTTAACGCATCAAAAAGATTTTAATTTTGAGTTGGATATATTGAGATATGATCATTTTAGTGAAAGTAGCGTAAGCTGTTAGTATGAGTTACTTGAGTTAATTTTTGTTTAACTTAATTATTTTTTGTATAATTGATTTCAAAAATGGGTTGATTAATTACTGTTATGTTGAAATGATCTTGAATAGGTTGTTAATTATTTTGAGGGAAAAACTAATGGTGGAATAAAAAAATGTAAGTTGTGGAATAAAAAAAGTAAAGTAAGATTTCACACACTTTGCTTGTTTTTGAATCTATGTATATATGTATGTTTCTAAATGAATGAATATTTTATTTCATTATTTTCGATGTATGAAAATAAGATCAAGCATATGATTATTTTATGTTTCTCTATATAAATAATGGATTATACTTATTAATGAAATGAGAAAATGATTTATATTTAAAAAACGATTTTATGATAGCTACGTTTTTATATTCCTAGAAAGTGAGATCATCAACACCAGAACTAATTTTACGACCTTAGCTAATAGGTTATAATAGTTAGCATAGACATGATCATATGGCCCTGCTAATAAGTTATAGTAATTAGTGTAAGGTCCTGACTAGCAGGTTATAATAGTTTGCAATGATTATAAAGATGAAATTGTCGATACGACCAATGTCACAGGTTATAGCAATAACCGTAACTAACGATAAACAAATGATAATTATGATTTATAATGGTGATTTACGATGATTTTTACAAATTGAACCATGATTTGGTAATATATTTTGATATTGATTTATGATCTATGAAATGTTTGACATAATGATAATTTTTAAAATGTTTTGACATTATAATTTGATGAATATTTTGAATGATCTATATGATATGTATAAAAATAATACTTAATCCGATAAGGTGTATGAGTCTATACTTGCTGAGCTGTGGTTTGCTCATTCTTTTTTTACTTTTTTTTTTTTTTACAAATGAGTAAGTAATAAGTTTACTTAGTTTTATAAAAAACTAAAAGATCAAATAAAAAAGATTACTTAATTGTCAAAGACAATATTGGCTAATGAGATCTTATGAAACGATTTTATACTTTTATATGGTTTGTATTTGGATATATAAAGATGTATTATTAGTTAGATTAAAGATATGGATTTTACTTGACAGACTATATCAGTTTATTGAAAAATTTTATAATGACTAAGAAAAAAAAGTTTCGTATTACTTTGGAGTTTACTTCAATATAATATGATCGTGTTGCGTCTTGATCTCGGGGTGTAACATTAAATAAATAAGATATATTTATTATACATATTACATGTAACATGATACAATTAATACATTAAAATTAATTTATACATAATTAATACAATATGACACGATACGATTAACATGATTATATACGATTAATTACTCAAATAGTACAATATGACACGATTAACATAATTATTTACTAATAATATGATTAGATACGATTAATCTATTTATTTAAATAAAAAAATTATTTAAATTAATATTTAAAAATATTTTTTGAAAATTAAATATTTATAATCTGTTTAAATACCAAAATAAAATGATAAATTCGATTATTAATTTATTTTTTAATAAATTAAAATAAATTTTAAATTTTTTATGTTATGAATAATATTATATCTTAAACTTGTCATTATTGTTTGACACCAATATGACATGAATAATATCGTGTCTTAATTATGTCGACACGATTAAAATACAAAATACGATTATATTAAATTTATATATAATTTTTTATATCGTTTTTGTATTATATCATCGTATCGTATGTAAAATTATCATGTCTAAATGTTGGTGCTTGAGGCAAGAGTTAATGCAGAAAAACAAAAAATTTCTCGGAGAAAGCTTGCACCTCGGAAAAAGGTACCTTTTGAGAAGGGATATAGTTGGCTTAAGCTTGCTCAAACGCATGAAGATAAGCTCCAAATGGTGCTAAGAGAATAAAAAACCAATTAATTGAAGTCACTGTTGATTTTGGTTATATCATTGTGCAACTCAACTAGCCTTCATTCTAATTCATTGGGATTATGTCCTTGATAATTTATATAATGATGATGCTTGTTGATGGTGAGTTGCAGAAGAGATTTAAGAAATTTCTTGTTGTTGAGGGTTCTTCTGATTGAACATCTTGTCCCCTTAAATTTCAACGTGTTAGCTTGAAGGCTCTAGTTAAGCATAGAATGCTGTGTTTGAAGAACACTATTAGTCACGGTGGCATCATTTGTTCTAGTAGCTATATTAGGGCGTTATCATGCTTTTCTATGGTGCCTGGAACAAATACTCCAAGTTTCTTGGTGAAAGCATATGCTGCTGTTTCCTTGTCTTTAAAAAGTCATGCTTGGGTAAACGATGAATTCTTATTGGAAAAATGTCATGTGGGTACTTTGGATGATAGTGATGGCAGTAACAGATGATAAAAACTGTTTCTTGGGACTCAGGCTTATGGCAGCTGCCACTAAGAATATCGTTGTTGTCTATTCTTCTTTTACATGGTGCAGGAAGAGGATGCAATTGTCACTGTCCTGAAGTGAAGTCAAGAATCCCACATCGATTGAGTATTAGAGTTGATCTTAGGATATAAGGGTTTACACCGTCTTTTTTTTATAAAACGTTTTTTATAGAATAAAACCGTAAATCCAAAGAGAGAAGAGTGAATAATACCTCACAAACCTATGAATCCTAACAGGTAGATTGATCTGGGATGTCGGATGAATGCATACCCAGATCTTAGAGTCACACGAGCCTAAATGTTGAGTCTCGGCCCGTGAGACAATCATATCTATCGTGCAAGATAGTGATTGGAATAAAGTTGAACATGCACATTGTGCAATAATAACATATACTAATATTTATGGAATCATATTTAGCTGATGATTTGGTGACATTGAAACTCAATTTTTATGTTGAATGAAGAATTCTGTTTGATGTTTTGATCTCACCTGCTGTGGATCTCTATGTAGTCTTAAGTTACAAAATGTTTTTGATTTCTAGCTGAGGTTAAGTCATCTGCTGGACATGCTTGTGAAAGTAAATCCTTATGAATCTATTAATTATTGCATCTTCTCATCAAAGTCATGAGCTGCTATGAGAAGGACAACCTTAATGGCTGCTCTTAGCTATTAGAAAAGCCATGTTCATAATGCATAGGTGCATTAGAAAGGCTTTTTAAACATAAAATGGTTTTCAATCTCCACAAGGCTTAGACAGCTTAAAGGGTGCCTCAAATATACAAATATGAAACCCAATAACCGTTGCAAAATCCTTTACTTAAGATTAAATGCTGTAGTGCTGGCAAAACTTGGCATCTAAGCAAGAGGGGAAACATGAACTTCATCCAGAACAGGGCCGCAAAGAGATCCGAAGTCATCAATCCTTGTGTGGTAGTAAGAGCTGAAGAATGTAATCCTAGTCCTGGCTGTAACTGCTTTGAACTTCAAGGTTGCAGTCTTGAATTCACCCTTTCCTCGAGATGTGAAGGGAACTTTGACGGTATCTTTGGCAGCAAATGCTTCCACCATCATTTTTCCATGGCAACCATTACGAGCATCTCCAATGATGAATGTGAGGTTATATAATTGATTGGGGACAGTCCTGAGAATCTGGGCAATGGCACTTTCTCTCCCTGCAACAAGCTCAACTGCAGCATTCCCAACTGGGACATTGAAGTGCTTTGAATCAATGAACTTCACAGCTTTAAGTGATTCGATTATCCAGCCTGGGAGTGGAGATGTGAAATCCTCCTGTCGAGGAGGGAGCAAGACACCATTTGTAGAGTTGACTAGGCGGTGAGGACCCTCTTCAAAGCCCTTGTTCTTCACCAGGTTATCTGCAATGTTCAAAGTAAAGTATTTTAGCAGTAGAAATAATCTTCTCCTGACATTTCCCTTTCACCCTTCAAAATTTAACCAAGAATTTCCACGCAAATCTAGAAAAATCAGCATAAGAATTTGGTTTTGGTCATTACCTCTGGTAGGAAGTGGACGGACAAGCTCCTTAATAGCAACAGCATCCAACAGGGGACCGCAGGTAGGATCCTCTTGAATGCCTGGGTTGTGGAATGTTACTGTAACATACTTGGATTTGGCTATAAAACCCCAGGCATAAACATCACCACCATAGCTACTGTACAAGGTCTGCAGAGGGAGGTCCCCTGACTGAGTAGGCACTGAAACTCTCAACACCTCGTCTTGTGCACAAGTTCTTGATGCACCAAATGTTAGTGCATAAAGGGTGCCTGGTTTTACTGGTATTGTTTGAGAAATTGAGGCCTCATTCCCAAGCTTTACAGCATGGACACCGTGAGCAACAGCATAAAACATGCCACCGGGCTGCGGCCCACCAGTGATGTACTCGACCAACCCTTTGATAATCCATTTGGGAAGAGCATGTTCTCCTAGAAGTACAGTTTTCTTTATGTCTGTTGGTTTTGGCTTTTCCTCAAAGTTGCCATTTTCAAGGTATCCTGAAGCCAGAAATGCAAGCACCAGCATAAGTTACAGATCAGCCATGGAAACGATCCAAAATTCCCAAAGAAAACATGTTAAAATCAAAAGAAAAACAAAAATGCTAAGCGGTGGAGCTAAAACACTTTACTCATAAACTGCATTAGAACATATATGGTGGTATAATTTGTACCTTCAAAAGGTTTAGTAGCGATTTTTGCTGAACCAAAAGGTCTAACACCTCTTTTTGCTGAAACAAAAGGTTTAGGACCCAAAGCACACCCAGAGATCAGCAGGGTAAAAAGAAGATAGAATGAAGTAGCCATTGTCATTTTAACAAAGAAAATGAAGAGAAACCAGAGAAGAAGTAAAGGACAGAAGAGATGTGAAGGTGAAGCGGGTTTTTTGGGAAGAGAAATGAAGTTTCAAGTGCTTAAATGTATAGTGAGAAATGGGACAGAAAGAGAAAAGAAGATAGGGATCTTTAGCATAAATCACGTCAATTAAAGAACCATACTGCTGCTTACAGAAGCATCTACAAATGGGGTTTGTCTACTTGTCTCAACTAAATTCAGACCGACTTTTTCTCCATAATTCATGGGAATGACCGTTCATTTTAAATGATCAGATTCAGATCCTATTACTTGTTTTTGAAAGTGTAAGTTAGTAAATAAGAAACTGTCGGTACAGCTACATTTCGAAATGTATTAACATTTGTCCCTTAGCCTCTAGCTTAAGGATTAAAGGTGCTCTGAAAACATTAAAAATCCGATTTCGAATCAATTTTTTTTTCTTAGTTATATTAGGGTTCTGTCCTCCTTTTATAACTAAAAAAAATGTATTAACATTTAACAGGGGGCTAGTATCAGCTTTAGCTGAGATCAAGAGCTTATGCGAGATCTGTCAGATTCTGTTTCTCTCTCGAGCGATAAAATTATTGGTTTTGTCACTAGTTATTACAGGGAAAACTGACTTTCCTGCAGCTTTATTAGAGCTTCAGTTTAAGACAAACACAGAAATTCTTTAACTAGTAATATAAAGTTAGAACTTTTCTAGAGATTTGAGGATTCAAATTTGAATTTGAACTTATCAACGATTCCCCCCTACATAACAACTTCAGAATTATTGTTTGGAATATTGTGCTGAGGATCTTACGCCTATGTTATTCAATAGATAGAGAGGTGCAGGGGATTAACATGTACAATCAAAGTGGTCCAATATATACCATGAACCCCATGTGCAAATGTCGGAAAATCTTACAAAAATTTGAGATTAGAATTCATAGCCAAGTCCCAAGTGCCTGTCTTCGACAGGTTGATGGCCCCATTTCTCCCAACAACATAAAAAATATTGTCATAGGGTCCATTTTCATGTGACTCTGAGTCCACATGTTTCACCTCACCTTCTCTGAATGTTCTTTGGCAACACTTTCACAGATAAGCTATATCATAATGAAGAATTTATCATACTCAAATGGTTGATTGAATTGCCTTCTAAAGTAATTCATGATAATTCGTTTTGGTTATTAAGCAAATTAATTTTTTGCTCATTATGTTTATTTTTATTGTCAAATGTTTCAAATTAATGGGAAGAATAAATTTTAAGTTTTTAATTGGTGTAATCAATTCAAACAAATTGATTACAGACAGTTTGAGGATACTGAAGGTGCATTGCATGTGCTGTAGGACCCAAGTGAATGTGATCATCACATTAAAAGAAGAAATAGGATTTAGTGGGCCAAAACTTTTGACTTATACCACATGTGAAACTTCCTAATTTCTCCTTTCAACGTTTCAATCACCTTTTCCTTTCTTGTTTGTGTTTTTCAAATTTATATAGTAAGAAACTTTTAATCCAGAATGATTAAAAATTTTTAGGCAAAAACATGGCAAGTCTTTCAACTAAATATTGCTTCCCAGAATGATTAATCCAGTCACCTACTACTTCCAGGGCCATTAATGAAAAAAAAAATTATCATTCTGATATCTTCGTTAGTGCCTTTGATGATCATTTGTGAAGGGAATTGAACTTGTTTTTAGACCTAACTAGCAGCTCTACCATCTGCATTTAAGCTAAACCAGAACCTTTAGAAGGGGAGCTAACCTACAAATGATTTTACATATATGATGTATGCATATGCCTACTATATTTCCAGAAACTTAACTAGACATCAAGGAGGCCTCTATCTGTCTCCGAGTGCTGATGTCGTTGGATGACTAAGATGGAACCATTGATGTTCATTTCTGAAGATGCCAACAGATCCCCAACCAAACCAAGTTCTGGACACTCCTCCCAGTCGCTCATTCCAGTTGTCAAGGGGCTAATCCCTCGCCGTCCCTTACCTACTATGAACAATGAATACATGTCCGAAATTTCTCTTAGAGCAGCTACTGTCTCCAGCCCATCTCTCACATGTTTCTCAACGAAACCAGCTTTGTCATGTGCCACGTACCTAGCCAAAATACCATTCTGTGTCATAACCAATTGCAGAAGAAAATAGTATACAAAATTGAAATGCAATGTACCTGTTATAAAAGGTCTCCACGAAGGCATTGTCTATCTCGTTTTCGGTCCCAATATTTGATATTGCCATGATTACCTCCTCATCCTTGTGGGATGAATCGTTAATCCATGAATTGTGTCTGCTTGAAGTTGTTGGTATGAAGCGGATGACTGTCAAACTAATTTGACTGTGCATCAAAATTCTTTTGCTACATGCTAAAGCCTCACGATCATCAGGGCCACCGAAGAACAATGTTGCTATGTTTTGCACAGATGGTGAGCCATGCGGTTGTTGGAACCCAGTTTGTCCTCGGTCCACAAAGATACCTACTGAACATGGGGCATGGCGAATAACCTTCTGGTTTATAGACCTAATCTCCTCCATGCTGTTTTCCATTTTCCCATCAATTCTTTGGTGCTTGTGAAACGGCAGGAATATGATAGACACACGCAAATCCTCGGCACCATTGCAGAGATCTTCGTTTATGGTTAGAAAAGATGACACAAGTTTACTTTGTTGGATCAAAATTTTGGTCTCTGAAGTGAAGGAGTCAACAGCATCATTGATCTCTAGCACATCATTTCCACCATACTCCTCTTCATCACTGAATTGATCACCATCTTTCAGTTGATGGTACATCAATTTGCTTTTTCTTTTCTTTGGAAGCTCCACCAGATGCACCAGGTATGGCTTGATGGGTGCACTTAGACAGCCACCTAATGCTGAGATAAGGCTAACATGCCCTGAAACATGGCGTGGGATATATACACAAGCCAACATTCGGAGCTCACTCTCCGGATTGAGTATTTCAAGTGTGGTAGGATAATGAGCACAAGACTCTTCTGTGTTCAATAAAATAGCAACTACCGGCCCTGTGATCAATGTGTTAAGCACTACCACTGACAAAAGCAAATTGTGAACATCTGTAGCCCAGACCATCTGCAACAATTAACAACAATCATGCAGAACAGAAAATCAGCAATGATGAAAGCAGTACTTGTGCTTCTGTTCGTTTTGTCAACAGCAAGAAAGGCTCAATTGCAACTTGATTGTTGCCATCTATATGCATAATAAGTTTGTAAATATGCAAATGAATACATCAGAAGAAACTTACTTCGGGTGTTGGGGCTGAATTAATGAGTAAAAGGTCGAAGTTGCCTTTCAAGTTGAGTAAGAAAGAAAGGATCAGAGCCTCATTCCATGGGATTTTTAGGTAATGACAAGCTGCAAAGGTGCCTACAATTTTAGTTCCAGCACTAACCAAGATTATGAGGACAGTGAGAGCAAGAGTCAATTTATCAAAAACAGTGCTTAGATCAAATTGGAATCCTGTGTAGCCAAAGTAGACCGGAAGAACGAAGGTATTGACAGCGTAAGTGAGTTTGTGCAACAATGTCCGAGCTGTTTTGCCCTGCCGAGGGAACATCAGGCCAAGCAGGAAACAACTGGCTATAGCTGTGTAGCCAATCGATTCCGCAAACAAAGAGAGACTTGTAAGAAGAAATAAAATAACAAAAACTTCGCTGTTTGAAACGAATCTATTTTTCCGGTTCCTTTTGTTGAAAAAGTATGATAGATACTTGTTCAAAATGATGAGAGCGACAGTAACAAGAGTAACAAGGATTGCACATCCAAATCTAGAAAAGGAGGTGAATGATCTAAGCGCACCAAAAACTGCTATGCAAGACATTTCATTGATCAAGGCACAATACAGTGCAAATCGCCCTAAATCAGCAGTGTCAAACTTGGATTCTGAAATCATCCGAATGACTATAGGAGAGGCTGAATTCGCTAAGACTGTCAAGATCAGAAGGTAAAATGCAAAGCGCTCATGAGTGACTCTGAATACCATGCTAAGCAACCAGAAGAGAGGTCCACCAAATATGCAGGCCAGGATCGATCCCCCTCCCGCAACGATACTTAGAGCCCGAATGTTGCGCTTTAAATAAGGAATATCAGTTTCCAAGCCAATGGAGAACATAAAAAGCATTCGACAAATGAATGAAAAAAACTGGTAGTACTTTGCGGAAGAAGCCTGAATGAAGAAATCTTTAACTTTGTTTATACGGGACAACAATGTCGGGCCTACTACAACACCAGCCTGATACGGAAGAAGACATTCAACAAACATAGAAAATTATGCAAAACTGCGCAAGAAAAGATATGAATTGAATGCTTACAAGAAGTTGTGCAAAAGGTCCTCCCAAGGGTTTCAAGAGAAGGTGAAAAATATGAGAAATCACAAGAATGCAGAAGACCTGAAAGCTTGTTGTGATCAAGGGGTTAAATGCGTCCACTGGTTGACACACTAACTGTTGTGTTGCCTCCATCGTTTTAAGAATGACAAGCTGATCAAGCAACTTGAAAAGCAGAGATACGTCAGAGGTAATTGATGAAGATGAACTGTCATAACTCTCTGATTCTTTCTTCCCCTTCCTCTCCTTGGAAACCTCAGTCTCCCCCTCTCCCCTTTCTCTCTCTGTACCCTTTGCTTTCTGATGGAGGACCTTTGTTCCCGGAGATTTGGTGGTCATATAAAGTCGGAGGCCTGTTATCCTTTATAACAAAACAGAACCCTTCGATGCATGCTTCATAAACAGAACCCTTTCGGTTGAATTCGGCCCATGCATGCTTTTTTCTATTTCCCCCTTGCATTGGAAAAGGAAAATTTAAAATATACACCTTCGTTTAGCACCTTGATCTGTTTTTGATATAGTAAATTGGTCATACATTATTCTTGGTATGATAATTAGAGATGAGGAAAAAAATAAAAAAAAAACTGAAAATCAATTTAAAATTGTAATATTCGATTTAGCTCTGATTGATTTTTTCTTATTCGCACCTTGATCTATTTTTGATATAGTAAATTGGTCATATATTGTCTTGGCATGATAAGTAATAACAAACAACAAATATGGTAAATCTACTTGGAATAAATTGATATTCCATCAATGGCGTTTAGGCTTCAGACATTTTGGCATTAGAAGTTCTTTATAATCTACCATCCATTTTACAATTGTTGGATAGCACACAGTAAGCGATCAAGTGTTCTATTACTACCAGCCAGCTGTTGCATAAATTTCTGGTATAATCACAAGTCACAACACCATGAAACTGACTTGAAAACTAGTTATAGTGTTTCATGAAATCCTATGGCTTGGCTCTGTTTGTCCTGTAAGCAAAGCAAGCGGGGCTTAAATGAATATTAAACCATTGTGATCTTCAGGCAGCAAAAGACTTGATAAACAACCTCTCTCTCAGATAAGCATTGGTAAATAGGATGTTTAAGATATTTAGAGATGTTGCATCCCTGTACATATTCTGGTTAGCATTGGAGAAGGAAGTACAGAATCTAAATTGCAAAACACCTAAAAATAAACATTATAGAACACAAATTTCTTCACTAAGTTGAAATTAACCTGAGACAATAACAGTTCTAAGTGAAAGTGAAGAACCGGTCAAGTAGCAAATCACATGGCAAGGTTTCGTTTTGTGGCCTCCATTTTCAACAAAAGATCTTTAATATCTGCTTCCATTCTTGCCTTCATAACGTAGTATTCCCTGCATGCTCTATCTAGAGCTTGGAATTCTTCAAACTTTTGTTTACGCAGTTCTTCAGCCTCGACCAGGCGTAATTTTGTGATTCTACTCATATACTCTTCTTCAATCTTTTCATTCTTTGCGATTGCAATTCGTTTCAGGCCATCAGCTTCTCTTCTTGCAGCATCAGCACGCGTTTGGTACATTTTGGCCTCCTCCTGTTTGATTCTTATGAAGCTCTCCAGTTCAGGAAAAAATGAATGCTTTTGAGCACTCTGCAACTCTGACTCAAGAGGGCGTTTGTCAGGCCGGTCAGTTCGGTCAACATGGAAACTAGGAAGCAGGCTAGATGAACTTTCTAATTGAGGGGCTTTATCTGAATAAACAGATTTGAGCCATGTAGCATCCTGACTAGGCCCAGCTGTCCCGTTGATTCCTTTGCCTTGTTCTTTTCCAGATAAAACTGTGTTGCCAGGCTTGGAAGAATCACTGTCTGCAATCAGAACAGAGGATTTGAGCAGTTTATTTAAATGACCTTTAAATATCATAATAGTTGAATTCCAGTGCAGTAATCAGAATGAGTTTTAAGACTAACGAAATAATTTTTATCTGTTCTACAGATAAGAGTTTGCTAATGAGAGCTCTAAGGACACTTGTTAAGCTGCTATTCATGGTAATTTTCTTCCACTAAATGCAGTAATTGACAATATATGAGCTATTTAAAAATAAAAATCACAAAGAAAGAAAGATCATAACACATCAAATATACACTTGAACACAATGCAAAATAATATTAATATCTAATCAGTTAATTAGAGTCACCATAATAGTGGGGCTGTTGCAAAAGAGCAAACAAATAACACATCAAAAGAAGATTCCATTTGTCCCCACCAGCACCAGCACTCGGGAAGTGGAGAATAGAGTCATTAGGTAAAGAGGTTCTCTCAACTGTGCATATCATACACAAAATAAAGCACAACTTTGTAGAAACAAGTTTTCACAAGGATGACAATTAGCTTTCCATCAACCACTAACATCTGGAAAAGCATATAGCAAAGCCATATATGCAATTAAAGATTCAAATCAACCCCATATAATCTAGAAAAAGTTTACAAAAATTCTCAAGAGTTATTAAGCATAGGTTTGTTAGGGGGAAAGAGTAAACACTTAACTAATTTGAAAATTAATGCATAAACATTTTAACCAAGTTCATAATTATCCTAAGAAAAATAACTTAATTGCTCATAAAAAGATAAAAAAAATAAAAACCTTACCAGCCAGGAAGCTCATTATCTGACTATAAACCTCAGGAAAGTCAGACTTTTTTGCCAATCTAACAAGCATTTGGTTTGCAATTTCATGTAGCCGTTTCCCTCTCACATCTTTGCTGCCAGCAAAGATCCTCTTGACATATTCAAGTTCCTTGGAAAAAGTTTCAAGCGTCCACTCCTTTGCAAAATTCTGAAACACCTCCTTTACAAAGCCAAACATCTCAGAAGGATGATCACAGGCAACACAATGAAACTGCATCTCAGCTGCACTATGTCCATTCCTAATATAAGATTCCCTTAATCCACAATCAGCATGGCACCAATGAAGACACACATCGCAACCAACCCAACTACAAGTTTTAGATGCCATGTCAAATTTTGAACATACAAGACACATACAAGAGCTGCAAAAACCATTCTTCTTTGAGCAAACCTTGCAATCACATTCATCCACAGGCACAGGACTCCGACACATAAGATTTCTGCATCTTAAGTTCAGAAAGATCTCAGCCAAATCAGAAGATGAAATACTGTTGTCTACCTGAAGATAATCAGGTAGACCAGTTGTCAGGGCAACCAAGATCTCCAGTTGAGCCCGATGCGATTTTAGCAGCATTTCAAGGGTTAAATCAGACCGGTTCCTTAGGGCATCCTGAGATGCACGAAGCTGTCCATGCTTATCCACACTTAACATAATCTCCCGAATACTCTCTTTTAGACATGCAATTGATTGTCCTGTCATTTCATGAAACTTCCTAGCCATAACATGGATTGGCTCAGAAACCATCCTGCTTATTATCGTCTCAACAAAATCAGCTCCACCTATCAGAAGTTGTTCTTGCTCTTTCTGGCTACTACTCCTATATAAGCGACCACCATGCTTCTCTCTCATGGCTCGCTTCTTCTCAAAGCTGTAATTTGAACCAATTTCATGAGATCCAACACTCTGTGATGGGGACCTGACATCATTCTGTTTATGAAAACTTAACTGCCTCTCAAGTCCATTGGGCATCTTTGAGCTTCCTTCTAAAGTGCGAATATTTTGTGCTTGCACCTGATTATTTGCAATGCCCTGCGATGCTTGGGACTGACTAAAAGAGCCATTGTCATTCATCAAAATTCTCTGAAACATGGGAACATCTTTATGCCTAGACTCATTCTGAGACTGCCATGCTCCTTGAGAAAGTTGATCTACTCCCTGAAACATGAGGCGGCTGTGAACAGATTGTTCACAGTTGTCCACGGAATTCTGAGTCAAAGAACAACTTGGATTATGGTAAAATGACTGGGAACCGGAAAAGGACATAGATGCAGTAAACCTATCAGAGTTGGTACAAAATGTGTTTGTTAAGGACTGTAAACTCCTCCCGTGGCTAGGGGAGCCAGGAACAGCATCTGTATCTCGAGCACCAATAGGCAACAACACATTTGGTAAACTAAGAGAAAGATCAAGTGATTCCAATGCCAATTTATCATCTTTCTGCTTATCAACACTTGACTGCTCTGCCTTTTCCACTCTCCTAACAGGAGAGCAAGAGAACAATTCAAAACCCCTAGTACTCGGCCCTTCTAAATCAACATCAGCATTTTTTGCTTCCCTGTCAATCCATACCCCATTTTCTGCAGAATCTACTGCACTTTTTGATTCAACAGCAACACCTTTCCCTTTATCCTTGGCATTCTGATTCAAACCTATCTCTACCGCATCCAGATTTATTTTATGCTCACCATTTTCCTCCGTGACTTCCTTGTTAAACTCTGCTGCCTCACATTCCTCGAGCTGCATCTCAAGATCAATCCCTTTATCCTCCTTACAATTCTCTTCCAAACAGGATAACTTCTGCACAACTGCATCTTTACTACTATCGTCCTCACATTCACCACCAACCTTCTCACCTTCTTCCTCCTTTCCAACTCCATCACCATCCACATCATCCATCTTTTCCCCACTACCACTAGCTCCACCATTCAAGCTCTTTCCACAATCTTGCAACTCATCATCTTCCTTCCCCCTAACTTTTCCCTCATTCCCAATCTCCTTCTCAACCTCCTCCACAACCTTCTCATTCGAATTCATTTCACCACCATCATTCTCCAGTTTTCCTTGACTACACTCTTTCCCATCATTTTCGATCCCAGCTTCAGTAGCCAACTCAGGTTCAGGCCCACCCTGAGGTTCAGGATCAAATTCACCTTCCTCCATCTCACTACTAGTATCACTCTCCACCAGTGTTTCCTCACTCTTCTTTACCTCTCCAGCACCATCACCGCCAGCACCAACACTCTTAGACTGCTCACTGCCTGAATCCCTTGACAATGTTGGTGACCTCGACTTAGACTTCGATTTGGAGCTTCTCCTCCTCATATCCTCCCTCTCCCTTGCCTCCCTCGACCACGTTGGTGATTTCATATCCCTAATATCCCTCAGTTGCACCTTACTACTTCCTCTACTTTCATCAATTCCAAACCTTCGCCACGAGCTCGCACTCCCAGTTTCGCGCCGAGTTCGATCCCTTTCTGATCGGAACCCCTTTGGAAACTCTCTGCGAGGCCCACAGAAGTTCTCCGACCTATGGAGGCTACTACTGCTACCACTCTCTCTGTACCGATCAAAACCTAATTTTCGCCTATCAAAGCTCTCGAAATCATGCTCTGACCGCTTCCGAACCAGCCTCTCTCTTTCCCTCTCCCTGCCGCTATCCTCATCAGCCACGGATCGGTCTCGATCATAACGCAACGAAGAAGATGAGATCAAATTGCTTTTGGCGCGGGCGTTGCTATCGGAGGCTGAAGATGGCTTGTAGTAAAAGCTGCTGCTATTGCCGCTTCGATGAGACGATGATCGATTTTGATTCTGATTCGACTCTTTGCTCGCATTTTTCTCATAGGAATCGAGATCTTCGCTCGATCTCAACCGCTTCATATTTTCTATATATCAAAGCGATAATTTTTCCTGAAATGAAATTGAAACCCTAATTTTAAGCCCAGAATAAAGCTAGCATCTTTTGAAGAGAAATAATAATCAATGAAAAAGGAAAGCTTTGAGCCTTTGAATCTGAATACCTGGAGATTTGCCCAAACTTCAAGTCGAATTTACATCTATACCAGCGAAGCTCCCAATTTTCAGTGTCGGAAAGATACTCTGATGCAACAAAAAGGAAAGAAAAAGAAAACGAAGCCACAAAATGCCTCAAATTTTGCCCAAAATCAATTCAAATTCAACCAACGGTTTAATAAAAAGCCCTAATTTTTGTTGAGAGATAGAAGCTTCTGAAATGCAAAGAGAGGACAGCAGCGGAGAAATTTCGACTTTGTGCCCAAATAAGAGAATGAATTTACATATGTACCCCTCCTGTTGCCTGTAGAATTTGAGGGAAAGGAAAGTGAAAAATAAACCGTTTTCTTTCTAGATATCCAAAGGTCAAATAAATTCATATAGGAATGATTTTGATCACCGTTAAATTTTTATTTTTATTTATAAAAATATTTTAATAATAACTGTTTTAATAGATCATCGTTTTTAAAACTTTACTAATGCTGTAATTGGTAGAATCCAATCTAATTTAGCAGTAGAGTAGTTTTATTTAAAGTTAAACCAAATTTTTTATTTTTATTTTTGACAAAAACATTAAAAAATATTTATATCTTCGAATCAAAATACTCAGTTCTGATTTCGAATCTACTTCGCATGATCTTTCAATTAACTAGTCAGCGATTTATGAATTTATCAATTCTACTAATACTTCTATCAAACCGACAGATTCTAATATTATTGAAATTTTTGAACCAAACAACTTTGATTCAGAAATTAAACCTAGATTAGTAAATCTCGCAGACTTATCAATCTCAAAATGATGGTATCTTGAAGATCTTTCAAATACTTTTGAAAAACAGAAAGTATCAAGTTTAGAATTTTTCTCATCAGAAAAAAATCTTTATTTTAAAAATCCAAATGAATCAATCAGTTTTAATCCAAACCTGGTTTTACCACCCATAAATATTTTTGATCATCAACCAGATGATGATATAAAGATATAACAAGTAATCAATCTTTTTGTACTCTTTATCGAAGTTTTTTTTCAGGTTTCATAATACAAACAGTACAGAAGTCCTCAGACGAACAAATATGCACTAATCCGATAATACTGATAATGCTCAAATTCTTATTTTTGCAAGATAATCCATCTAAGCAACGTACAGTTGATAATCAAACCATTATCATTCTGTTAATTTTGTGATTAATTCACATACTTCTTTTAGAAAAATTAAAAATGAAGATATTAATCTAATTGAAGGAACCGATTGAATATAGTAAAAAATTTTAAGTTTGAATTTGATTTAAATTTTTTAATTTAAAATTTGAACTCAATAAAATATTAATTTTTAAGTTTAAATTTGATTTAAGATAAACGTTAAATTATTCAAATTTATTTGATTAAATTTGTTTAATAAAAATAATTTTTTAAATTTAATTTTGTATTTGAATTTAAATTTAAATTTAAATTAAATTAATATATATAAATAAAATAATAAAATATATTAAAATTTAAAATTTTCATTAGATTTATGAATTATAATAATTGAGTATTAAAACATTTAAATTAATCGAATTTTATTGTAACTAAATTTAAATAATTTATTAGTGACGATGTATCATTTTATTTTATACCCAAAGTGGAAAGGAAGGGTTGAGTTGGGGGTAAAATGGGAAAAGCGGATGAGAAAAAGAAAGGAATTCTGATTGTTTTTTAGAGGGAGTTTGATTTCAGTCAACGCAATTTAACTGCTGGAGATGGAGAGTTTGGATACGCAAAGTGCAAGTGGGGAGGGGGGGGTTGGTTTGCTTTGCTGCTAATCTTTTAGTGGGTTTAGATTGTGTGCAGGCAAGAGTTGTTAAAACCTTTTTTGATTGACCAATCACCCACCACTCCATCTCACTACTTTTTCCCAACATTTTCCATGCCATCAAGTAAAAAATTTCTCTTTTTCCTTCCACCTTTGACCTCCTTTTTTTTTTTTTTTTTTGACGATCCTGGAAACGTGTCCGAGTTTCTTCTTTCATTCACTTTCTTTTTTTTTTACTCAGATTGGTTTGACAGCTCTTACTTGGACTTTTGACGTCAGCTTGTCTCTCTTGTCTAGCCTGAATTATAGAATACACATCATTATATCTATTAATTTTAGACAATGATACAATTAATATAAAATATTAATTGATTAATATTTAAAATTAACAAAAATTATACTGAATTTAAAAAATATATATGAACATATGGACTTGAATTATATAATATAATAAATTTTATATTTTACATGTATTTATAAAATAGTAAATTTATATTTTATAAAATATTAAAATTTATATATTATTATATTTTACATAAAAATTATATTATAACTTGTGTTAATATAAAAATATAAAATAATTTTTTTGATTTTATTAAATTTTTATATAATTATTATTAAAATTTTAAATTATATTATTTTTATATTTTTTTAATATTATATTCGTATCTTATAATAATTTATATTAACATAAAAATATAAAATAATTTTTTAATTTTATTAAATTTATATAATCATTTACTAATATTCATTTTTATGTATTCTTATCCCATCACTATATTATATTTTAAATTATAAAATCTATATGCAGGTAACGAAAGATCGATGAATTCGCTCTGTTGCAGAGTGTTATCCATTACCGCCCAACTCCAATTTCTAAGGTAAACATTTGGTTTACATTGACACAGACTGCTGCTTTATCTTTTCTCAAAAGTTGGGTCAAACACAACTTCTTCTGCTTCTCAAAGGCATCCATATATATGATCAAAACCGTCTTGGAGAGTTGAGGCTTTACTTCTCATTCGAAACTTTCTTTTCAGTTTCACATCAATGGCAGCAGCTTTCTCTTTACTACAAAAACAGTTGTTCAAAGTAGGAGCAGGAACCGTCCCTTGTTTTATCTTGTCAAGGCAATGAACCAACATAGAAATCAACATCAACAAGAACAGAAGGACAACAGGCAATTGTTTCCCCAAGTTTGGCAGAGGTTTAAACTAACCAGCTTTGACTCTTTCATGCCTGAATATGCAATAGAACAGTGACAGAAGCCATTGCCACAAGAGGATTAGCCAATTAGTTGTGTTCCTTTTAGGGTCTGGTCTTGGTCCAAATATTCCTTCATAAATCTCTTTTTGCTTCTCATATATAGCCTTGTCATGTTCTGCAATTAAGCGCAACTCCCTTGCAATTTTTTTGTCTTCAGGTGCATATTTGCGAGCCTTTAGAAAGTCTTCCCGAGCAGCATCTGTTTGCCCAAGTTCTGCTCTGGCCTTTCCTCGTCTGAACATAGCTTTCACATTGTTTTCATCTTGTTAAAACACCAAACATCATCATCATGACCACAAACATAGCTTTCACATTCAAGGGGTGGAATCTCAAGCGAACTAGCCGAGTGTGTAGGAATCATGACACAAACTGCTTCATGGCAGCTGTTATATTCCTAAGATCAGGATTGAGACACAAAAGACCTAAAATATCACTGTTTAGTCTTGGAAGTATGCAAGAAAAAAATGCAAAGTATCAGCAATCTTTTACACTAATTCTTTCCAAGAATTACAATGAGCCCATACAAGTTAATCACTTTCTTGTTTACAAACCAGTAAATTAAGGATCAAAACTTACAATTGTAGTGACTAAGGCTTGTGTTTTTCATGGTTGACATTCTAAACCACCAGAAGAAATTTAAATAGAGAAGTGAAAATTTCAGCTGGAATGCGCACTCACAATGGAGCGGTGTCCAATGGCTTCTTCATAGCGCTTGAGCTTTACCACACAAGCTGCTATGTTGAGGTGACATGGATTTTTGGCAGCTAAAGCCATGTCTCTATACTTCCCAAATAACTGGAACATAAAGTCATCACCCATGTATGCTATGGCCTACCATGGAAAAAAAAAGAGAGAGAAGGAACAACCATTAGAAATTGCCAAAATAACTAAGAAAGAGAATAAAAAAGAAAAATTATCAAATTCTAACAGTCAAGCAACACAAGTGTATAACCATTTCATCCTTTTGCATGGCCTCCTCTAGCTTATCCTCCTTAAATAAAGCATTCCCATCCATCTTTCTTCGATCTGCTGCACCAATCCTTTCCTCTACAGTCAAGTCACCGCGAGCTTTTCCCTAAAGAAGGGCCTCATCAGGAGATTCATTCCATTATCATTGGAGAGAAAAGCCAATTTAAAACACTTTTGAATGTCCACATCTAAAAACACTTCGAAACCCACAACAGTGCAACTTACTTCTTTGGTTTCATCAAACCCGATAAGCTCAACCTCATGTAATAAGTATGTCATGGGTGGAACATTTGGGAAAGAAAAGCTTCCTTTTTTCCCATAACCTAATTCACATCTCACATGTAACAGCACACGTTCACCAGACTTCATGCTCGAGACACCAATAGCCAAACCAGTCATTTCTTTTTTTTTTCTGCCACCACTGTAAACCATTCCATAATATGCCCAAGAAACGAGACATCAATGAAGCAATTTCATATCATGATTAGTTATATAAATCATTCTTGTAAAACACATCTGAAACTACATTTAATATGTATTTTTACCATATAAACAAAAAAGATAATAGGATACCTTTGCCTAAAACCAATTCAAGTGGTTGTTGTTCATGCCATGTGTCTTCAAACTTATACTGGGTGCTTTCAGCCCAAGCCCTGTAGTGCACTATATCATATTTGCAGTGACTCAGATGTAGGGGATTTACTACAGAATTAACACCACTCCTTGACCTTATATGAGACTACTAAGTAACAACTTTTGCAAAGAAGCAGCTTAGAAGTTCAAAAATAATCAGTGGACTAAACGTATACAATTACCAAAATTAAAAGAACCAACAAAATTTCTCATCAACTCGTACATGAATAAAGTGCCATGTTAAGCTGTCACAATGAATTACGCATTAGATGACTGGAAGCATTTCACCTGCAATTCTTTTTACTATAATACTTCAATTGGCTAATCACAATAAAAAAATTATATAAGGGTCCACCACTTATAAGTGTGGGTTCTATATAAAATTTTAATGATCCCCACATAATTCTATATTGTGATTTGTTAATTGTATTACAATCATTGTAGATGATACCTCAATTTAGTAGGATAATGATTACTCATCATTATAGCTTCCACAAGATGTTAAAGTAAAAGCTCCGATACAAGATTCACTCATCCAACTAATGTCAATGCAGGTGTAACCGCACCAAACACTATACTGAAAGTTAGACCAGATCAAACCATAACATATGTTGGTTTTATACCATTTACTGATGATTGTTTGTGATATAAGAATTTCAGCTTTTCAATATAGTCGACTAAAAGCGGGGCCAAAGAGAGAAAAGAAGCAACAGTTCACAAGTTTCTGGTACTTACAGAAGCATCTTGAATACTTTGATGGCTTGTGACCATGGCCTTCCTTAATGATTTGCTTAGTTACTTTCTCGCGAAGAATTTCCACCTCAGAATCGACTTTTGGAGGTCCACTAGCATCTTGAGGTGGTTCCCCATGCACAAATGCAGTGTTTTCAGTAACCATTTCATTCTCATCATCTTGACCTGCCAAAGAACACCACAAGACACTTATGAAGTAAGGATCAAAAACTAAACTGAAGTATATTATTAATATAGCACTGAATGATTCTAATTTCCTATCAGTAAGATTAAAAAAAAAAGTTGAATTTATGAACAACAACAACATTACACTTGAAAACTCACCATGGGATTGACTTCGCTGATCCTTAACGTTCATTACTAATATTCACTACCCAAAGAAGACTCCTTCAGAATTCTTCATACCCGTATAACAATGGAAATCAATTAGCTTCTAAATTGATCAAACGAGTAGAATCTTTCAACAATAAAATAAAGGAAAATAGAAGAACTCATATTTTCAATTAGATTCATTTAACAGAATTATCTTCCATAAAGTCAAACTACTATTAAAAAATCAAATAAATTTGATCTACGCTCAACTGAGCTTGTGAAAATTTGCATATAACTTACGAAATATTATTCGCTTTGATTTGAATATTTTATGATTTTATCTTATAAAAAATACCTTACAAGTTTGAGTTTAGATCTTTACATATGTCAAACTATATCCACATTTTTTTAATATAGGATTAAGACAATCTTCTTACCTTTGAAGTTTGATATTCCTATAAATCGAGTTTAATCACAAGATCAAAATTATATCAAAGGTTAAAATTTTAATTATAACTCTTCACCATATAGTACTTAATGATTCTATAACCTTACCATGTAGTACTTAACTGATTCTTATGATATAATACTTAGTTGTCACCGATTGATAACTGTTTTAATATCATTTATGGAGATTCACACTCAACTTACGAGATATTGTTTGTTTTAATTTAAAAATTTTATGATTTTCACTCAAAAAAAATACTTCATAAATTTAAATTTAGATTTATACATGTATATAAATCTTTTAATATAAGATTGGAGGTAACCCTAAAGACTTGGCTTCTTTCACTTCTTTGACATTTTTTTTACGACTGTTTGATCAGTTAATTACAGTAAGGAGATCTGAAGAAGCAAAGCGAATCTGCTGGCTTTTGAGACGATCAAAGAAGATTCTAGTTGGAGTTGGATAATGTCCAGACTAACCCAGCCAGAGCCCATAAGCCTGGGAAGTAATGGGTTTTCCCATCCACATTGTTAGACTTATCTCAGGCCCAATCTTGATTGGTTCCTGCCTCTTTTTTTAATTGTCTATTTAATTTTTAATTAAATACATTATTTAAATTTGATAAATGATTTTTTAAAATAAAAAAGGATAAGGTTAAAATAATTAAAATTCAATGAAATTATTAATTGAATAAATTACATAATTAAAAAATTAATTTTTTTTAAAAAAAATTCAATATCAAAAGCACAGACAATCTCAAATTAGATATGATAATTTATGTATTAATGTTATATAAAATATTAAAATTTTTATATTTATACCATATTTAAACAAAAATTGCATGTGATAAATCTTGATACAAAAATATGAAATATATATTTTTTAAATTTTATTAAACTTATAATTATATTATTTTTTATTATATTATTATATCATCGTATTATATTTTAAGATATAAAAAATCTACACAATAACAAAGGTATTAAATCAACCTTTGCCTTCAGCTAGTAAAAACCAAGTATTATACACGAAAATTTAAGATAACCCTTGGAATTATTTTCAAATTCACAGACGAGAAGACGTCTTTATTTTATTTTTCTTAGTTTTTCTGCATTGAAAATTTACATAAAATTAAAAAACTTTACAAAATAAACCTGGGTCTGCCAAAAGGAAGGAGGGAAGCAACTCTACAACGGCAATGAAGCACCAATGAAACTTGACAAAATGGAAGAGAACCAAAAGTACCACACACATGAAGGGGCACTTAAGGAATAGACAAGATGAAGGCATCAAATATAAATCTGGTTTTCCATCAAAACCACAAAATTAGCTGGTCAAATGGCAAAGACTGAAAGCATAAAGACCTTAAGTTTCAATTCCTTCTCTATGTATCAGCAACCAGCTGCCTTAAGAAAAATGTCATATGGACATGATGCAGGAAGCTGAAAGCAGGGAGGATGTTGGTACTCGGTTGCACAAAGCATCGGAGTAGCGCCAGCATATAGATTTAAAGAAACAGCAGCAGAGTCTTCATCAATGAATGGATTTCCACTCTGCAATTCCAAAATTATGGATGATGAATGGGAGGGGTTATTATTCTGAAGCATTAATTGTACCTATGTTGCATCAACTCTTGATTTTTCCTAACATAGCTATGTTAGACATAAAGCCGACATCCTAACATGACCATGGCCATGCAATATGAACCTTCACGTACAAGGGAAAACTAAGCAAAAATTGACTATGCATATTATACACATTGACACCAAATCCAAGCAAAGGGGGTAACCATGGCCAAATTACTGGTGCTCATGCTGTTACTGAGTGAGCACAGTGGAACCATTGCAGTAGCTGCGATTATTGAATGAAGAGATTTATTGGAAATTATCAGAAGGGAGGTGCCATCATTTGATTGTATAAATTTTGAACTCCCTCTGACAGGGTGAATGTTGGTAGGGAACATTATTGATAATGCTAGGTACAGAAATTTATATGAAGAGCCCCTAAATTCCAATTGCTACAATATCTTTGCACTATTTCAATAGTACTTAAGAAAAGAACCATAATAAGCATTTTGTTTGAATAAGAAATGTTTAATGTGGCCAGGATAAAAGTTAGTACCTTCAAGGACCCTGATTCAACATGAGAATGAGGCTGCACCTCCTTTGCAGAAATGCTCACTAAACTTTCTTGATTCTGTTGAGCACTCATTACAGCAGACATCTTCTGCTGCTTTCCCACCAGAAGGGCCTCACAGTGGCCAGCCATTTCACTATAAGGCATGTCAGGGGGGGTTGAGAATGAGGATCTTCCAACTTGATGTGTTGTCTCTGAAAGCTGCAAATAGATCAGAAACAGATTTGAGTATAGCTGTTCTTTCCTATGTATATACCAGTAAATTAACATGTAGCAATAGTCAACACAATGACTCACTGCATCAAGAAGTTCATGAACACTCAAGAGATTTTGAGGTTCAAGTGCCGAACATGTGTCAGGACCAGTTTGACCTTCGAATGTACTAGGCAAAACATCATCATCTGCCATGAATAAAGGAGGCTCAACCTGCACAAACACAACTTTATACACTTGGTATGAAGTTCAAGAAAGAGAAAATGAAGCAGCGAAGAATTGAAGGCAAAAAAAAATTGCCTTTTCAGGAGATTGATTATCTATTGATCCAGATTCATATATTTGTTCAGGTGTCTCCATGAACAGATGAGTTCCACATGGACATCCATCATCAGGGATGAAACCACTAATCAACTGGTTTCTTATTTTGGATGATTCTTGCTGCCAGAATGATCTCAAATGTTAGAATTTCATCATTAGTGTGAAGCAACTAACTTTTTACAGCAAGGCAAATAAGGGTCATACATCAGACAAACTGCCAAGAAACTTCACTATCATGGTTGCAAGTGATTCTTTAGATTGGTTCTCTGCTATTTCTATTTCTGAAAGTGACTTCAAAGCATCTTCATCGTCTTCTTTTGATCCATACACTTTTCCTGGATGCTGTAGTTCAATTTTAGCAGTCTGTAACTTGCAATCATCAACCAACTGTAAAAATGGGTCAACCTAAAACAAAGTCATAAGAGTACAAAGTTAGCTAAGCTTTGAATTTTAAATATTTTTATACGATAATGTGATGTGCCTACATAATAAGATTCCGAAAATAAACCAAGAAAATCCCAATCAATAATGCTGCACCTACTGTTTTTTCTGTAAGTGAGGCTTTAACACAAGGAACAAGTGGGGGGATGTTGTAGGCTTTTGATGAGAAGATGATCATAGAAGTAGCCAGGATAAAGAGGGACCTCCGACGTGATGGCTGCAGTGGCCCTAACAAAAAAACAAAAGACTTTATCAATTGAAGATATGGATCCATAAGTTGCATCTCAAATGATGATTAGCCATCAGGTTCATTAAAATTTAAGGATATAAGTCTACACAAATATCCTAATTGGTTCTGATTTCTTTTTTCAATCTTTTCTTTTTCATTTTCCAAACACTAGTTTGAGAATTTGAATTTTCTTCCTCTATTGAATTTGCTCTTCAATTTTCTTTAGCAAGACTGAATTATTGTGAAATGTAGAATAGAAAATCAAAGAGATGATTATATGTACAAATTTTTAACCAAGGCCTACCTCCTCCTCCCAGAGATATGCTTCTTAAGGAAAAGGCCAGCTGAAAGCTTCGAATCATAGCCTCATTAGAGGAGTTCTACATAACATAATGCATTGTAAGAAAACAAACTAAATGAAAACAGCGGACTATCTTTTGAATTATAGCCGAAGATGAACATATGATATATCTTAGAAAAAACAGTAAAAAAAAAAAAGAAAAACTATTTTAGAGGAAGAGACTTCACTAGTAAATAAACTTAGAAAGAGAAGAAAAAGCAAATTGGAGATACATCTCACTGATTGATCAATTATCACAGTTTTGTATCCACAAATTTAAAGCACTGGTGTTTAGATAAGGACATGCTTAAAATATCTAATTTAGTATTCATTAGTTCAACAAGCAGTAGAGTGAAGTCTTAAGTAGTTGTGTTCCACTTCTTGGGAGCAGACATGAAGACAATGAAAAAAATGCCATATTTGCATTCCATGTTCCTCTAAAAGAACATAAATTTCTTCTTATACCCTTCAAATATATCCATCTGTTTCCATCATCTAATAGTTTGCTAAATCATTAAATAGCTTCTAAAGCCATATTTCCCAATTATATCTTTAACTGTAGAAACTGAAACAATATACATGAAGCATTCACAATTTAACAAATCTATAAAATACAAGATGCCTCAGGCAAACAGAGCTAGCCTTTGTGAAATTTAGATGGGTCATGCTGTTTACCCTTCATATCAAGGTGCACTGGCTTGCAACTATGGCCCTTTCAGTGGCTTCTAATTAATCACACCATTACTCTCATGTATGCCTTCTCAAGTCCTTATTGCTAAGGGCAAAGCAACTTAACAAGATAAGCTAATACCTTTATTAATCCTTATTGATAAGATTTAATGTAATGTAAAAGTTTAGTGTTTCACCCATATTGGAGAATAGCATTAATATAGCAGCAGTGGCTAGTTTAACTTTGGGAAAAGGGAATGATTTGACTTAAAAGATTACCAGACAAGTATGCAAATATGCACATAACAACTATTTAAAATGTTCTATTGTATGACTTTTCTCACTTCATCTAGAACTTCATATTGTCCTTTGTCCCAGCTGTGAAAGGAAACTCCGAAATCATCAATAATTGACTGGGAGGTTTATTTCTCTGTTAATCCTCTGCAGGACCAATGCATGTATCTTTGCTAAGTACACTCAATATTGTGTCTAAAGTGATGCCGATATATTTGTTTCAGCATGACCTTAACAAGATATTTAACCTGTTCAGTGTCTTCCTTAGGTTCCACCTCACACATATCAAGTAATTGTAGGCTGAAAACTATTTAAAACTTGATCTAGACAAATAAGAGGAAGCCAACAGCCATAAATATTTTACATATCCATACATCATATGGCAAAACTATAATAGACAAAAACACACATGTGCACATGCATATACAGATGGATGGATGGATGCAGGATACATGCAAACTGACAGATGAAAAGAATTCGTTAAGAAGGTATATGGAAAAAAAGACAAAAAATCCATCATGAATTTTAATTCATAATGTCACTAATTTGCCAAGAATGACGTAATACCTTGGTCCTTGCAAATAGCAACACCAGGCTGTAGGTATGAGCAATGGCTTCAAAATTTTCAGGCATGTTTAAAGGAGAGATGGATTGTGCCCAAATAGATGACAGCATAAGAGTTATCTGATGACTGCTTAATCGAAGAGGTAAAGCCTGAGATGGGTTGGTTAGAAAAGGAAAGCTCATGTCAGATAAAGGAAAAGAAATAATTTTGTGAATGGCTGATTGAAATGCAGGAATATGAAAACATAACTGGAACTTCAACTGAATTACTCATTGATTGTTCATCTTCTATTATAGCTGATGGACTCATTTTTACACTATAAGCTCGGCTGTAACTGGACTTCAACCTGTTCAGAATGGAGGGGCTTTGCATCTTTGCACTGTCACTGCCAACAATTTCATTTACGTTTACAAATGACGGTTGCCTTTTAGAACAGTTCAACCTGTCTTGCATGGAAACACCGTTGATGTTTCCAACCTTATTCTCTACAACTTTTTCTTTATCTTCCCTACCCAACTTCTGAAACAGTGCTGCTGAAGAAGAAAACACAGATACAGTTCTTGAGAGTGTCTTTTGCAAATTATTGGCCTTCTTTGAAACAGGAGTAGCAGCAAGAGGACAAGGGCAGACAGATGATGGAACCAGAACAACAGAAAATATGCGGTGAGCACCAACCCTTGTTTCGTGGTCTGCATAGACCATTGCTAGAAGTAATTGATGAAACAATGCCTCCGGAAAAGCCTACAATATTTTATTTAAAAGGAATGAGAAAAAGATAAGGAACTTAAATAGAAGATATGGAATCTCCCGAATAACTGAAATAATTAGACAGTAAATGTTGCCTTGCCTTGTTTTGGTATGACAAATTTGGAATTGATGCCATAATTTGAGCAGTACGATAAACTGCAGAAATCAAAGTTCTGGCCATAAGAGTAATGTTTGGCATATTCTCCAACATCACAGCCATCATATCAAGGACAGGACCTGCATCCCCAACCTGCCTTTACAAGGTATATTAGTTATGTAATTACTTTAAAAGAATATTATCAAGTTGCAACTACAATATCATGAAGATATTGTAGTCCTGAGTTAGGATTCTAAATGTTTTGCTGATATGTTAAATCCTACTTGCATCAACTATAGATATGTTAAATCATGTTTCAAACATAAATGATACTTATAAATTAATTAGCAGTTACTGAAATGTTGGACAACCAAGTCACCTTATTTGATAACTGAACAAGGCACTCATCTACTGCTGTTCGAAATTTTTGGTTGTATTGAATCACCTCATCTCCCAGACTAGAATCGTCAAGTGAGCAGTGTATGCTTTTCCGCAGGTGTCTTGTCATATCTGTTAATGCACCAATTATAGCCACAGATGGCTGAACCTTTGTTTGTCGAGCAAGGGAAGTGGCAACATCCACAATATCTAGCTGCATACTGGGTTTCTTCAGAACATTCTTGTGGTCAAGATGCTTTACTAAGATGGACAACAAAAAGTGTGTGTTTTCCCCTGCAGATTTAATAAAACAATCACTTAAAAATCACACCAAAATTCACTCAAAAGATGACAATTAGTTTTAATGGAGAGAAAGGCTGCTTGAGCTTTCAAAGGAAGCAATTCCTATCAATATCAAACAAGCTAAATACCGCATTCCTCTATTGTTAACTGCATGTCCTGCAAGACAGAAAGAGCTACGCCATGCTGGGTAGACCACATTTCCTCGTTATCAAAAAATCTAAACAAAGATTCCAAGACACGTCGGACAGTTGTAACTTCCTTGGCTAACTTGGCCATGTTATGCAGGCAAACTCTTGACCAAAATTTGGGATTCTCAGCTTCCTCCCTGTAATATTAATGGGGAAAAAGGGACTGCATATTAGTCATTAAGCATTCCATATGTACAAAGACAACAGCAATTGAAAATTTGTGACAAGAGCAATTACGCAGACACATGAATTTCTCCATTCTCACTCACAATACTCCTCCAAGAAACCGTTGTCATGGCATCTCTGGAAGAGAAATTGTCTTTAACAGAGCTATTCTGTATATCTTGCTTGTCATGAATAACAGCATCTGATATTTCTGAGTCTCTGTAATTTTCCAAGACCACTGAAACAACCTGGTGTTTTAGGGGAAATTTTAAGCAACCTTAAACAAAGAATATTGGAACACGAAAATTGAAACACATCACAATAAACAAATAAAAGCCAGTGAAAGTACTATATAAATACTGATAAGTAACACTTTACTGCTAAAAATGTCTATCATAGATAACACGCACAGATCTAATCAACTCAGTAAGTTTTATTTCAACCTGATTACGATATGTTCTCATTACCTGCAAAGTTTTAAGTTCGCTTGTGGCTTTCATGTTTCGTTTTATTATTCCCTGATAGTAAGTTACAAATGTTACTATACATTCTAGATGAAAGTGGGTAAGAATCTTAGTTTAAATGGAGTTTTTATATCCACATTTATTAGTCAAAGGGTGCATTGGCATAAGAGTCTTAAGTTGGACTAAGATTAAATTATTATGCCTTTATGCTTATTTTAGTTAGTCAAAGTTTCTAAATTTTTGCTATTTTCTAATTTGGAGTCAAAGCCTCATACATGTGATTGCTTTCACCTTACTGTGATTACTTAGAACCATACATTTGATCACCAAGGCTTTTTTTATCCATTTATTTATTCTTCTCCAGCTTAGTTGCTCACCTGAAGAGTGTAATCAATCCTGTATAAAACACCTTCAAAGTGAGATGTTCCTGTATTGCTAAGAAATAAAATATCGATAACCTCGATCCAAATTCATATCTCAATTTAGTGCTGAAATTTTAAGACACTGCTCCAGCATAGCATTCCATTCCACATCATGGTGCCAAGAGATAGAAATGTATGGCAAAATAACTAAAAAAGAAAATGTAAATAAAATTAAGCAAAGGGTTCCAAGAAAACTCACATTATCAAATTCAACTGAGACATGAGAGAACTCCCCCATGAACCAAACCTATAAGAAGAATAATTAGAAGATTTTGAGAAAGAGTTAACTCTGGTTTTTTATTATTTTGTTTCTGTTGATTGAATTTTCATTGTTCTTAAGTAGGACAAGTCATGATAAATAAATTAGTAAAGTGGGGATCATTTTGAATAATGTAATAATGAATCATAAGAAAACTTGACTAGAGAAGCAGAAAGGATGATATCCAAGTTCACATCCAAATGCCTAAACAGAAGAAGTAAAAGGTTACCACACAATTCAAGAAGATACCATTTTTGCCATCAGAGATTTTATTATTTTCATGTACACATATGATCAAGCTTATGATATTAGCAATTTAGTAAGTGTTTTAAGTCATCGTTACCATCCTGCCTCCATTTGCAATGAAACAAACATCAAGAAAACTAGATAAGACAATTTTTACCACCAATTTTGACTTCTAAAATCCCATCTCTCACACCCATACTCATTGAATCTTTTTCCTTCTTTAAAGTAAAATTTATTAAATCATAAAGGCACAAGTAACCAAAGTTCAATAATATGATATAAGAAGTCGCACCAATTCTTTAAAATGCCTAAGATCAAAGACACCCATGGACCTTAAAATGAGCTAAAAAAATAAGATTTTCTAAATAGGAGAAGAAACCAGAAAAGAACTCTCCTAAAATTAAGAAGATAAATTATATATGGCGGAGGGAGAGCAAATATGAAGAGACGAACTAGAGAAAATAATGGTAAAATACAAGGGATAAACTATTGATTTCCTAGTTGGATTAAGTTGTTTTCTTATCTATGGAATCTATATTGTCCCTGCATGCTCTTTCCACTTAGCCATTTTGATAGAACCAATTAGTTACGACCTGAACTTCTATAAAAACTACAAAATCTAGATCCTAACTGCCCTTCAGCCATTACTTCGAACTTCAGTACATAATTTACTCCTTTTTTGTGTATAGGCCAAATAACAAGAACAATGAAAATCAATTCTTGTTAAATAATCAACAATTAATGGTACCGCCGAATTCTTAATGCATATGGGGGAAGAAGGGCCAAGCAATTCCACAACACAAGTGGATTCAAATTCATACTCAAAGTGATTGCAAGAGGAAATACAGAAGAACACAATGGGGATTTAGGAAAGAATTTTCAATAGTCATAGAAATTACCACTGATGAAAGAGTTTGAAGACCAGCAGAACGCAAACATTGCACCCTCCTGTCCTCCCCCATTTCTTGAGCTAAAAGACAAAGTTTTGGAATCAATCCATCTAAGTTGAACATATAAGTACCATCCCTCTGGCTAGTCAAAAATAGTGAAAGATTAGCATGAGGGGTTTCACTGGAATTAGAAGAAGCTCGAACTTTCTTTAATAAAGTACTTCTTGAAAAAAACAAGTTGTGCTATAAAGTGGCAAGAATTTACCAACACCTTCTACCTGATTATTCACAAAAACAAAAAGAGCTTGGCATCCCAATACACGTGTATCATCCATTCTTGTTTGATCTAGCAGGATTTGTATAATGCTAAGGAAGCTACTTGCAAACAATGGCCTGCAATATAGTATATAACAACAAACATATATCAATTTGTTGATTGATATGCTTCTAGACATATATTTAGAATTTGCCAATAACTTTTTATTCCTAAGGCTCCATTTGCTTCAGTAGTTTCCTTAAATCTCAAGCAAAAGCATTGTAAATTTCTATGGTGCAGAATAGAAAAACCACCAAGACAAGAAATATGCTTTCACATCAAATTCTTTTTTCAACTTCCCTTTTTATAAGTGGGGAAGAGAATGGGAGAATAAAGGAAACAAGAGAAGTATTTTTTGTCAGAAACAAATCAACCATGCAGAAGCAAAAGTACAGTTGCATGCCTAGCCAACTATGTTAATATTTCTTGCTTCTAGCCTAGGAGAAATTTTGGTTAGTCAAAGTACTCAGTTAGCCTACAAATATCATTGTTAACTTCATCATATATTTGTATGCATTGTGCTATCCTTACCTCCTACTGAATGCTGTGGCAACTTATTGATGCCCACATCACAAATATTAGCAACTCATTTTTTGACCTCAATGGAAGTTAGATGATACAGCCCGTGCAAGGAGAAAGCACTATCTAAGTGTGTCTGAGTATGTGTTCAAAATGAATATACTACAGATGTCATGACCCAAAATTTGAAAATGAACTTCAATGCATTTCCTTAGTGCATGTAGGCATAATGAATTTTGTGTTAACGACATGAACATACTTTTAAGGTTCCCCTTGACCAATAATAAATCTAATTGAAATTTGAAAACATTATAACAAGGTTTGTTTGTTGTGGTCTATTGCAAAAAATCATAAAACCATAAACTAGTGAAGCAAACTCTGTTTCAATATATCAGGCCGATGTCATCCAGAAACCAGAATCTCAAGTGGGAACTAATGACTGTCTGATCATGAGAGGTTTTTCGGAACCTTGGAAAGTGGAGGTGAAGAAGGGGAAGGCATATCTTTATTATCAGAAAATGTTAGCCCATCGTTCATGTTACTTGCTTGAATTTTTTCATTTTTTACCTTATTCCACACTCTGACCTAGACTTCCAAAGTTTACTAAAATCCTATCTGTATAGATTTATTGCTGTACATTGCTGGTAACTTTAATTTGAAAAAGTGGTCATAACTAGGCCAACTAGAAATTGTCTTGATATCAATCAACGTGAGAGATTAGCAACTAAAGCTTCTGATTTCAAGACATCATAGCTTGAACATTTAATGACCTGGTGACAGTCATAACATGAACAACTAACCTTGAATTTTCTTGCAAATGCAGCACGGAGTCAATGCAAATGGACTATACAGAGTAGTCTTTATGACCTTATTGCATAATCACAATCAGTATGATGAAAAGGAACTCACATTTGCTCCCTACAAGAGATCATCAACTTCTTGTAGACATGCACAATCGTTTTTACAGAGTGAAATTGCTCACTCCGCAAATCCCTGTAAACTCTCTGCTCCAACGAACTCGTTATCTGATTAAAAAACAAATCAGAAGGTTGAAAACTAGAATTTTAACATCAATAGTATTGATAAAGTAAATCAAGCCAAAAATAAGATTAATTAGAACCAAAAAACAAACCAAAACACAGCGAAAACCCCAAATATTAACAAGGACACAAGCAAATCAAGATCATCTCAGTTATTGAATGTGTAAATGAAAAATTGCATACTAGCATGCATCCTTTCATAAGAATGATGATTTTGAAACATGAAATAAAGTATGGTACCTTTGAATAGACCTGGAAATCTAAAATATCACTGACATTAACACGATATGAGAAAAGGACACGAATGGTTTAAAATTTTAGCAATAACAATATATAGGTTTAACAAAATCCAAAAAAAAAATGTATTTAATGCTTTCGTTTCGAATTATGCAACATAATTTTCATATAAAACACAATACGGAAATTTAAGTATTTTACATGATACAAATACACAAATTGCCGAGTCTACCTTTGGAATACGAAGAGGATTCTTGGAAGCATATTCACATAGTTTACTGATCATTCGTTCATTCGGTTGTTCATCCTAGCAGTTACCATTCAAGCCAAAAACAAACGATCAGATCAACGCAAATTCTAACCAAATTTTCTAAAAATAAGCAAATAAGATGAGAAAAAATGGCAGAAACCGGCGATCGAGGAAATATATCGGCGAGTAATTTCTTGTAACGCTTCACGGGATGCCTGGATCTGGTGCTCAAGGAAGGGCAAAAGAAGCATAAGCTCCCGCACACAGGCATGACTCCCCTCGATATCGCCCCCATTTTCGTTCAAACAGCCACACGCCTCTCTCTCTCTATCTCTATCTCTCTCCCTTTTTCTTTATTTTTACAAATATTTATGATTTTATTTATAATTTACGAGGCAGTTAAGGTGATAATCCCAGACCCAGAGATCGACGATAAATTGGAGAGAACGATTTCTCTGGGATCGGAGGGATGGAGGAAGAGGATGGCCGAGGATAATGTAACCGTACGGGAAATGTAAATCTTTCCTCTCTCTGTGGTACATTCCATCGTCTGTGTATTTATAGTCTTCGCTTTGCGAGTTGTCAGCTGGTAATTTACAAAAAAACCCAATTAAATATGCATGGGCCCATTAGTGGCAAAATTATGGACCTTTTCTTCTCTTGATTGCAACCATGTTGGAACCGTGGGCAGGTGGGCTGCGAACCTTCCAGATTTTAAATTAAGACTAATTTTTTATAGAGACAAAGATGATGGTGACTTTTAGGAGCGTAATCCATTATAATTAAATTGATGTAATGAAAATTTTGAATTTAAGTTTGATTTTAAATTTTTATTTGAAACTTAATTTAAGTTTGATTAAGTTTTAATTTTTAAATTTAAACTCAATTTAAGATAAAAATTATAAAGATTCACGTTTAACTTAAAAGATATTATCTATTTTGATTCAAAAATCTTATAATTTTATCTTACAAAAAGAGTCACACAAGTTTAGATTTAAATATATATATCACAATAAAACTTTATATTATCCTGATAATTTTGTCTCACAAAAGTAACCTTACAGGTTTAGATTTAGATATATATATATATATATATATTATAACAGAACTTCATATTATCTTGATATAGGATTAGGGTGTTACAAACTTCTCCTATTAAAGCTTGATATCTCGTCAAACCCAGTATAAAGCATATAGATCCACTGAATCACACCAACATTATCATAGAATCACACCAAACATTGAGATTCTAAAAATGGCTCCCATTATATAGCACTTAACTCTACAAGATTCTAAAGGTAGCTTTCATGGTGTAGCATTTACTCTTATTCGACTGGTGATCACTTGATATCATTTGTGGTGACTTGCACCTAATCTGCGAGGTATTATTTGCTTTGACCCAAAAGTTTTATGGTTTTGTCCCATAAAAAGTATCTTACAAGTTTAGTTTTAGATCTATATATATATATATATATCATAATAGAACTCTAGATTATCCCGATATAAAATTAGGATGTCACAAAAATCGAGTTATTCGAATTCGTTCGATTAGGCTTGTTTAATAAAAATGAGCTAGATTCTCATATTCGATTTCAAACTTAATTATGTGTTCGAACTCAAATTTATATACATATAAGGATAAAATAGTAATTTTTAATTAAAATAATAAAAATATTTTAAAATTTAAAAGCTTAATTAGGTTCACGAACTACTCCTCAATAAAATGCTTAAACTCAACTCATTTGATAAATTGAGCTACCCGAGTTCAAGCTTGACTCGATAATAACATAACCGAATTTAAGTTTTATACGAGTTGAACCTGAATAGCTTACAAGCATTGATGTATCATTTAAACTCCTAATAAATTTGGCAATTTTAACTATAAAAAATTAATATGATTTAAAATTTTAATAAATTGTACATGGTTTTAGAAAAATAAAAAATGCATTTTATATTTAACATGTTGATATAAATTATAACACAATAATTTTCTTATTCTATCACTACAGGGGTTTTGATTTTTAGTGGCATTTTTTCTAATGTTTAACGGCATTTATAAACGCCACAAAAAATTTACAGCACTTACGAAAAATGTCACATAGAGTGTCGGCTATTCACACATCACAGTAAATATGGTGTTTTCAAAAAAAATACCTTAATATTAGCGACGTTTATATCTGAAACCCACCATTTTAACGACGTTTCAAAGATAAAAATGCTGTTAAATTAGTGGCGTTTTTATGAGAAAAAATGCCGTTACTTTGGTAGCGTTTGTAACTGAAAATGTTGTTATTTTAGAGGCATTTGGATTTGAAAACACCTCTATATAGCGGCGTTTGTATCTTAAAGACACCGCTAATTCAATAGCATTTTTATGAGAAAAATGTCGTTGCTTTAGTTGTGTTTTTATGAGAAAAATACCACTTAACAAGCGGCGTTTTTGTTAAGAGCGTCACTACTTATAATGCATTTTATGCTACAAATGCCACTAAATTATTCATTTAACGACCCACGACAAACGCAAACGCCGTCATTACGTAAAAATATATATTTTTTAAAATTGTTTTAATAAATTTTATTTTCATTAAAGAGCTTAAATTCAGAAACTGAAATTTATATTAACTTCATTCACGTTTAAATATACATCTAATTAATACAAAGTTTAATAATTAGTATAATAACATTCAAATTTTTATATATATTAATAAAATTAAAAATTAAAATGTATGAAATAGATGACTACGTATATTTTGCTGACTACCAATTGATAAAAAAAATTTTCACTTTGATCACTAGCGTGTTTAAAAACCTATTGAAATATCATACAATTTTTAACACTTCATTGTAAGCTTTTTATATATTTAAATATTTAATTAAATATAATACCTAAGTTGGTGGAGCACCAAGATCATTTTCTGGAAAATTGTTATTGCATAAAATTCATAAGATGATTAAATCAATCATGGAACTGCTGAAATTTAAGCACGCTCTTGCTCCATTCTAGCGCGTTCTTTCTCAATTTTGGTACACTTTTGTTCTTTTTTTGCTTCCATTTGCTAACAATGTTGTTGCATAGTTTGTAACTCCCCTCTCAAAATTGAAATGTTTCGCGAAGACTGACTTACTGAGATGTAAATTACGGAGAGCTATTTTCATAGTAGGCAGATGGTGTTGGACTCAATCCAAGGCCTCGGATCCGTCCATACCTTTTTTTTTTCAGCAACTTTTATGAATATCCAATTTTCTATTTCTTGCATGTTGAGAGAACCATCAGATGCTATTTCAATCTCAGCAGCTATTTTCTCTTTCGTTTTCTCTTATGAATTTGTCATATACAACTATCAAGTTTAATGATTAATTGATTATATGTTAAAAAGAGTAAATATTTACTTTTTGTTAAAATAAATGATACAAATTACCATAATTTTTTATGTTTCGATATTTATGTAAGATCTGTATTTTTTTATGTGTGTTATGCGAAAAAGTTCTACATGTCCAATTGTACCGTCCATCTCATTTTTTTATACAAAAACATATGTTATTTGATATGATACATATCAATCGTAACTTATTCATGCATATCAAGCCTGTCAATAAAATAATAACTTAATTTCGAATAATTTTAATCTCATGTATTTATATTTTGGTCCCGTAACAACACAATAGTCTTAAACATACGCAAACAATAAAATCATTTTGGGCTTTCACACATATTGATCATGAAAACCAAATTCAATTATTTTCTCCTAGTTTAATATTAAGGATTGAAGCCATTCAATATGTTGAAAGCCATCAAAAAGTTTAATTTGTATTTTTGCCTTTTATATGCCAAAATCCTCCCAAATAAACATAAACGTTAACTTTTTCTCCCATATCAACCATAGAAACCAAATTCAATCAATCGGACAAGTTTAATATCAAGTATTGAAGCTATCCAAACTGTTAAAATACAACAATCACAACAAATCTGTATTAAAGGCGTAAATATACGTAAACAATGATTTTTCATACATATCATCTGTGTCAACTAAGTTCAAAATTTTCAATAAGTTTAATATCATGTATTAAAACCATCAAAACTATTAAAACAGAACCATAATTGTTAATTTGCATATTTACCCTTTAATGGCTGAAAAAGTTCATTCATTGGAATACGTTTATTATCATAAACTTACGATTTCTTTTTGCTTTCTTGCAAAACTTTTTGATCCACTTGTATGGCTATATTTCTGTTGCTTTCTGCTACCAATCTCAATCTGTTCTCTTTTCTGTCATAAAAAATAATTACGTATATAATAGAAATACAAATATTACTAACTTAAACCATAAAACACTTTCATCATTTCATTATATTATACAAAGTTATAAACTAGTACCTCTCATTTTCTTGAGAATCAAAATCTAACTAGTTGTTCATATTGCCACCTAATCACATTACGAGGTAGATTTTCCATCATCGCCTCTACAGTAGTATTTCGATCGAAATACTTATTCTTCAAACTATACTTATAATCTTTTCATTTCTTTCCTAATGACTTAAGCACAAATAAAGTTGTATTTCAAGTATAAATCTTGACTATAATAATAGAATATGAAAAGTTAGAATAAGTAAACAATATGTAAAATAAAAATTTTTTATATCTAATTAATTATACCAATACCTCAATAAAGTTTAATGCATCGGCCTTAACTTCTTCTGGAACTTTTATGCCATGTTTCATAATGAATAAACAATTTCATTCTATTACGAGCTACCATACCTAAAAATCCAATCAATAGTTGAGCCTCTTCACCAATTGGTTGCCTATCAGATTTTGTAGACACTACATACGCTTGTTAGGAGTTAGTGCAAACAATTCTTTCAAAGTTGTCCAGCCTCTAGTCTTTCGATAACCATTGTTATCAACTGCAACAAATAATAAATATATTTGTAAAATAACAATACTTTTATCATTATACTTGAATTCTAAAATTGGAGTATATCATACCTGCATTCAAATTTAAAGCATAATCAATTGATTGGGGTACTATCTAAATTTATACCTTTTATATTGTCAAATCCAATATCAATTGAATGGTGAGAAGTGACGGAGTTAGATCCGCCAATACATTCATTTCCCTCAAAATGATTCAGTCCATAGCTAATATCTACAGGTACCATAAACGGTTATGAACTAATACTCTGATATGTTTTCCTTTCAACCTACTCTTCCGCATTGTAGCTTACCTACATCATAAAAACAAATATAGAAAAATATTAGTTTACAACATATATAAAGACATTGACAATTTAAGAAATCAAAACCTATGATAGATAAAGAACATATCAATTTAATTAAATCAAAAGATAATGTATGATTTAGAATACAATAATTATACAATAGCGAATGTCACATTATTTACATACTAGCCAATACTACATTATGTCTTAAACACTTGAATTACAAATTATAGATGCACTATTTCATGGTTCGTAAATATCTTCAGTAACATCTTGGTAGAGCCACTGAACGTAGGTGCAAGAGATATTTTCATCCAAGTTTTGTTCAGC